TAATTAAAATTCAAATTCAAAACGTTTCAACGGCCAGAATAGTAAAACAACAATTATTTAGAAAATATTCCAACAAAAGTCACGAAAACTTGGCAAAATGCTTGATCACGGATATACAGTGAGGATATTCAAAAATAATTATCAAACCACTCCACATGAGGCTGCAAAAAATCCCAAGTCCAAGATATGTATAATATATATACGCTTTGTAACGATAGACACGCGGGACCAAAAGATATATAATCCAAAAAATGAAGAGTTCTAGACAACCATGTGTGAAAGAAAATCTGTTAGCATGACCACAAGAGCTTTATTTATAATTTGATAGTTAATTTGTAGAGTCTTGAAGAGATTTAGGTGTAGTAACAGCCGAAAATTTATTCTTGATTCTTCTTGCCTTCTGCGTGCTTTTCTGCGTTTTTTTTCTAAAATTTCTCAACCCAGTCCAACAAACTTGATCACCATTTGCATCAAAATTCACTGTTGTTTTTTTGGGTTTTTTCTTCGTTATTCCTGCGTGCCTCAAAAAGCTTTTCTATTCTTAACTAATATTGCCGCTATTAAGACAAGTGACCTAGTCGTGGAATTGTTATTGATTGTTTATGAACAAAAACCTTAAAATGAGATAAGTGATGGCTACTTAATTAATAATATAAATAAATATTATTGTTATATATCAATAGTCAAAGTCGCATTTTTCTAGTGTTTTATTGGTTGAGAGCATATCACGTGAGAGTGACGAAATTAGGCTGTCTCCCTCGCAACAGCACGAGAGGGAGATAATACGTTATCGACCGGCGAATAACAAAAAAAATCACGTGCGCCATCACGTGAAGATGCGACCTTTGGACATGCCTAGTACGTAATTAAAACTTTCGCTTTAAGTAACTGCAGTGTAGCCAGTGTTTAATATAACGTTTTAACAATAAAATATTTCATGTATTTACGTTCATTTGTTCTTTAATTTGTTGTTTCTTTGACTATTGATATATAATAAAACACTTATTTACTGAGACCTCGGGAAAGCAGTGTGTTTTGTGGACCCTCGACCGTCGATGTTTCCCTCGGCTTCGCCTCAGGAAACATCGACGGTCTCGGGTCCACAAAACACACTGTTTCCCTCGGTCTCAGTAAATAAGTGATAAATATAAAACGCGTCCAGATTTATGTAAATTTTTCTTTAAATTTGTCGCCTAGAATAACTTGAATAACGTAAATAACACCAACGTTCTTAAACTTGTACGGTTTGTTTCATGACATGTTTGATAAAAACCATTGCGACATTATTTAGAAATGTGCAGCATTTCCGTCAAAACCCTCAATGCAAAAATCATGCCCATGGACGTCGCATTGTCCGCTAGCAAAACTGATTTAGACATTTAACTCTAAAATCTTTTTTTCTGCATATGCTGTATAGCTACCATTATGAGCCAATCATAGCAAATTTCGAGAGGGACGAAAATTCACTCTATCACTAGTTATGCCACATAAAATTAATTCCTTTATATTTTCATCACCATCAAAATATATTTTGAGATTCGCGTGGACACTTATATTTTATTACTAGAAATACATGCATGCACCAACCCCTCGCTTGTATTTTCCGAACATTGATTTAACATGAAGTATCAGTAATTGATCAAAACTGAACGCATGCTCGCGTTTACGTCAGTGTTGCCATGGCAACATGATAATTTTAATTTTTATTATATTTTTTGTACAATTGTACAAAAATAGTTGAAAGATTATTGCCTTTAACTATATAACAATGAATTTCCGAAATTTGTACTGTAGGTATGTTGTTCTGCATTTTGTGAGCTTCGATTTACTGTAATGTGAAATTTAACCCTTAACCTGAATCGCTTCGTAAAATGTTTTGAAATGTTCATTTTAATAACTATAAACTGCTTTTTCCGATAAACTGTTTTTACTTAATAAAACAACATAAGTTCAAATTGTTGAGTACTTTCAGTTCGGTTTTCAAATGAATTTGCTCTCCTTTACATTTTACCTTCTTTTCTTAAATAAAACAGGGTAATTTAGCAAACTTTAATACAGCTTCATTGAAAAGGAAAGCAGTACATGTTTTACGCAATAAATTAAAGCAACAAAATTCATAAACATTAAACATTCAAAGCAAACTTGCCCTATATTTCACGATTTCCCACAGTAAATCAATTCTTCTCATGATTACTTCAAACAAAAATTGCTTCAAAGCTAATGCATTGTGTGAAACGCGATTTTCCAAATATATGCTTTTGAAAATTGAATCTTGCTTATCCCACTCCTTGTAAAGAACTATGTTTTTTAAGATCAGTGAGGATGACCACCCACGGTTGGTCACCCATGCTCGCGATCACTGATGAACTTTAGACATCGCTAATACTTCCCTTTTCCCGGGTGTAAATAGCCGGGCGGAATTTGTATCCCTGCCCCGGGCTAACGCCCGGAATGGCGCCGTTGGCTCAGGGATAAAAAGTTAAGTGCATCGTCCAACCAAATATCTAAGACTAAACATTCGTTTTTTATGATATAATTTGTATTGCATATTTGATATTATCACAGTTACGAAATTTCAAACAAACGCGATTAACTTGAAAAACATTTATTGCCAGTTAATCACAGAAATACAAGAAGACCTTGCTCTCCAACTATTACGGATTTTTTTTTTCTTTGAAATTTGGTATAATATATAGAATACAAAAATTAACTATCTCTTGGAATTGAGGATTCGTGTAGATTGAAACTGTAAAGCACATTGCTTAAATCTAATTCAACTAAGAAACATGTAGTGATTTATATGCTACGAGAATGGAGAGACAGTGGATGAAGCAATGCGTTAATATCACGGGAAAAACGGCAGTAAATACAGCGATCTAAAATGCAGTCTAAGCCAGTTTCGTCTTTTTTTTTTAATTATAGAATCAATATAGACGTTCAATCCCTTAACCACAGGCAGTAACAACTTTTAGTCTCGATAGGCTATAAGCCTGGTTCACATATGCCTGCGGCATGCCTGCGACTGTATCTTTATGCCTCTACTTGCCGCCGAAATACCGGCAAAGTTGAACTCAAGTCAACTTTCCCGGCCTACCGCCGATGTAACTGTGGCACTGGAGGCAATCGGCGTACAAATGTTCACATAATTTATATTTTGAAGCTACCGTCGGCATCGTCGCCGGTACGTCGCAGGCATATATGTGAACCAGGCTATATTCTTGCATGGGGTCAAAAGTACTTCCTATAAGCCTATAACATAGCCTATCGCTAAATATAGAACATGCAGGTGTAGAAACAAATACTAGAAACCCTGTCCTGCATAAATGGTTTTTCACAATAATAACGCCGCTTAAGAGAGCACACCAATATATAGCCAATGCAAATATTTTTTAAATTTATTCAGATGTTTACTGGAACGAATGGTGATAGAACAAACGTTCCAGATATTCTTATCCTCTACACGGATGGGGAAGCGAGTGACAAAGACTTACAGTTCAAAGAAGCGGAACAGCTTAAGAAAAATGGTGTTAAAATAATCTGTGCTGCCTTTGGCGAACCGTCAACCGTTCAACAATTTCTTCCTGATCTTCAAGCAATGGCCAGTCCTTCTTGCAAAGGCACGGGCAAGCTCGTTTTTCAGGCCGAATTTGACAAGCTGGATACAATCGTAAATACAATAGTGGCGGAGGCATGTAATTGCGTATAATGGATGTCATTACATTTACAACTTAGCGTAGAATATAATTTGTCCAATTAGTTGTTTACTATACACACCGAACTTAATTTCTGTTATAACATTGTATTAATTTCTCCTAACATTGTAAGAATTTTGTTGCATTGTCATTGCTGAAATGACTAAAATAAACATTATTTTACTAACTCTGTAATGTGATGATGTTCCGGGGCAAACAGTTGAAAGACAATTAAGAACGTACTCGTTGTCGGAATATCAATGTCTATCTATACCAATCCTAATATGCATGCATGTAAAGCCATTTCCTACTAAAACTGAACAAACAAACATAGCTCGATGTGGTTTTTAAAAAGTTTAGATTCAAAACAATTCGACATTTTTAAACGATGTACTTTTATTTTTTACGCAGTAGACAGGGAACCTTGACCCTAGCTACAGAATATTAGCCCATATTTCCCCAAAATTGGCATTTTTAATGTCGTCAGAAGTTATCACGGAACGCAATTAGACGGTTTTAGATAACAAGACGCGGACGTCAAGAGGACGTAGATGTCGTCATCTGGCGCCAACTATCGTCAGCTTCTGGTTTGCGACGTCGTCTTGGACATAGAGATTATAAATAACACTAGAGGAGGCATAGAGTTTAAAAATTGGGAACGCAGCTAATGGGGGGCAAGTTCAAGTCCTGGATATAAAATCGTGCTCTCATTGGCTGATTTGAAACTCGTCACCAATGGGAACACGAAAACACATTCAGGACTTGAATTTGCCCCCCAATAGTCGCGTTCCTTTTTTTTACTGAATTAAGATTACAATGCCTCCTCTACTCCTCTATTTATAATCTCTATGGTCTTGGACGATTTCACGACGCGAAAATACAATTTCCACGTCCTCTCTAAAACGTCACAGATTTTTGCTTCTTTTGAAAAAAATTTGAGACTATGCATAATAAAAGTCATCCTATTTTGTTCCCCAAGTATTGTTTAATGATACTAGCTAAAGTTTTTCCATTGACAAGGTTGTTTTTCTTGTATTTCGCTAAATTTTAAACGAGTTGATTTTCGACAAATACTTTCGGTCGCCATAAACAAATCAACAAAACTGCAAGCATTGTTAATAACCACTTCGATACCGCTAGTAATCCTCACAAAAACAAATATTTTAGAACAAACTAAACTGAAGTTATATTAACAACTGTTTAAAATCAGTTAGTAATTTAGTTGCTCTGTCACAACAGTGCAAAAAGTAAGACAAGCAAAAAAACGCTATCGTAAACAGTATTAAATTTTACCAATATAAACTCTGATGCTATATTTTTACTGAGCAGTTGACAAACTTGATTGAATAGGCTACAATTAGCTCGTAAACAATACCTGCAAGCAGCTGTTGTATTTATTCCAAATGATGCAACAAAGTTCACTTTTCAACATACCGAAATATAACGCTTTTTCTAAAAAAAAACTTATTGAATGTCCATACCAATTCATCAGGAAACACTTGGCCAGTATTATGTAGCCTTTTTTTGCACATATCTTGACAACTGATTGGAAACAATACGGAAATGAACAGGTAACAAGAAAACAAATATTGGATTCGAAAAAGACAAACAAGCCGTCCCAGATAAAACCCGGAAGTGAACGCGAGGTGCATACGTCATTTTCACGTCCTCTTGACGTCCGCGTCTTGTTATCTAAAACCACAGGGGGTCCAACTAAGAGCTGTGTTATGAATATGAATAAAACTTTAATTAAACCTAATATGAATAAAACATCATAACGTAATAAATTTAAATTATTGCACTTACTTGTATATAAAATCATAAGAGCTTGCATTTACAACGAATAGCTTCAAACAGGGTGCTTATATATGCCGCAGAATCATTGATTAATAAAATGATTGTTCAAATATGGCGAATAAATTGACAAAACGAAAATATTACATGACGTTCCAACGAAAATAACAGAAAGGATTGCGGGCGCGCGAGCGAAAAGGCGAGGGAAGAAATAAATAAAAGGGGGATGAAACAAATATCACGTGATTTTTTAAAATGCTTTTAGACTATCCGTTTAAGCTTTTTGCGGTATTTTTAGGGCTCAGTAGATGTTCTCGTACATGAGCAAGCCTAGTAATTACCAAAAAAGCACTGATCAATGTAATTTATGTGATTTATATAACAGCGGACATTTTTAGATCGCATTACCGGTGTTTCATCGATCCCTTCTATTAATATCTATCACCCTCGCCTTCCGCTCGCGCCCGCAATCCTTTCTGTTATTTTCGTTGGAAGGTCATGTAATATTTTCCATGGCCAGAAATCACGGACATTTGCATTTCTCAGGTTTCACGTTACCACGAGCACTCACGCAACAATGGCTGCGCAATGCGCTATGTTTATTAACTGTCGAGCATAGTATTTTCAATATAGCATGCTATATATAAATCTTTGAATATTTGTTGAAATTCGTTCCAGAAGTAGCGGTCGTATAGTAACACATTGAGAAAAAATGTTCTCATTTCTTTGCATACTCGCTCTGCTTTTTGCGATTGAATATTACAACATTTTACCTCACTTTACATAGGAATCTATAAAGGTTTCTCGCTCAAAAGGCTATATCTCGTAATATATTCAATTATCGAAATTTGTTGAAATCATTTTATTTTGACGAATAGTATAGCCTTGCCTTCCGCCGTTTATTATTTTGTTATACCCGATAAAAGCTCTGCTTTTTTGTTTTGAAATTCGCAAGCCGGTGCGTTAATATGCATATTATAATATTACTTCGCGGTCGAAAAGTGATATTCCATTCGCTTGCCAAACTCGAAATATTTATTGCCTTCCTACATGTTTGGTACCAAAATACTCGTCGAAATCTTCTCTTTTCGTTCCCGTAATCATTGCTTAGCTACACCCCGAGCCTGGTAAACTAAAGGCCACAACTTGAGTGCATACTTCATGCTTTGCTTTATAAACAACACCCACGCGAATATTTGAAATTCCGGATGCTTTGATAGGTCGTAAAAGGATAATTGGGGATTCTTGTGGCTAAACGGAAAAGCCGCTGACCGACTGGTACGCTTGCTCAATGTCCGTCATTTCTGGCCATGGTTTTGTCAATATATTCGCCATTTTTGAACAATCGTTCTAATCAATGTTTTTGAGCATAAATAAGCGCCCTGTTTGAAGCTATTTATTGTAAATGCAAGTTCTTATGATTTATACAAGTAAGTGCAATAATTTAAATTTATTACCTTATGATGTTTTATTCATATTACGTTTAATTAATATGTATTATTCATACTCATAACACAGCTCTTAGTTGGACTCCCTGTGCTAAAACCGTCAATTATACACCACGCACACAGGCGCTAGATGGCGTGAGCAAACTGCCACGTCAGGTGATGTTGTTCTTAGATATAAGTTCATTCGTTATCTTTCTCGCGAAACCGGATAGCCGCATGGCGTATAAAAGCTTGTTTTCCGCGATTCTTGTGCGGATTAATATACCGAGCCACCTTTAAGGACATTTAGTAAACTTTTTGTTGCATCTACCTACATCTTCGGAGTGCATGCATCATCAAATAATTAACAATTATTCGCCGAAGGCGAAGCAGTGATTAACGGTGAATATTCGCCGAGACGAAGTGGAGGTGAATATTTACCGCAATCACTGAGCCTGAGGCGAATAATTGTTTTAGTATACATTTTTAATGAATAAAACAAAATATCCAATACGTTATCCAATTATCACTTTAATTAAAATTCAGAAATAAAACTGTTTTCGGCCTGTTCACTAATAGTGTTGCAGTGTTTCTTGTACGCACACGCTTTCAAAATGGCTTCTTGCTTATGGAGCGGTCATTAATTATTGGGGGGGGGGGCTGTAAATTTAGGGGGAGGGCTACCATTTTTTGGACCCCCTTTTGGGGAGGGCCAAAGTTTTTTGTGCCCATCTAGAAGGGAGGGCCACAAATATTTGGACACCTATTTCAGTAAAAACAGTTATATTTCAATGACCAATTCAATGGGCCCGTACACGGATAATGAATGAAGGCTTCCATGCAAAGATAAAACGAAATTTATTTCACCAACACCAGAACAATTTCTTTCACCAACGATAATAAATCATATTTTATACATGTAATGTCAAGTATAACAACTACAATCAGTTTCAAAAGTCTTGGGACAGATGCCACAAAACCTTTGAATTTCAACAAACGACAATCCCCCTCGCCCCCTGTTCAATGTTGTGTCCCATTTCTCGTCGGGTTTGATGTGTTTTGGTTTAAACAACATTGATTGGGGTGGGGGGAGGGGGAGCGGAGCGGTATTGTGTGTAAAAAACTATAATGATCCACTTACAAGCTAAAACTACATGTGTCCCAACAACTTCTGAAAGTGATTGTCTGGGCCCCATATGCCATAACATCATTGTACATCTCAAAAGTACAGGGAATAGAATGCTCTGCGAACGAAGTATTTCGGCTCCATTTCGTTCACAGAACATCTAATGACATTATAGAACAATTAAGTTTCATTAAAATTCACAAAGTTAATAATTAACAGAATATGAATATAATTTGTTCTGTCATATTGCATTCTTAATCACAAAGGTTTTATACGTTGTTTGTTTCTACAAATTTTGGCAGAGCACTAGCAGATTATTTGAGAGGTTATAGTGCGTCAATAAAGATAGGTATCGCAAATGTTTTACGATAGATATCTCACACATACTGTTAATTTATAGCATAGTAATATAACATCCGGTTACTTTGGCATGCGGGTAAGGGCCGAGTCAACTGCTAATTCGGGTACTCCGAAGGTGAAGAACGTTTGATTTTTATCACTAATAGTGAATGTGACATTTCACATCTTTCTAGAGCAGAATTTGCAGATATAATTGTCGACGCATGGGTACGAAGGAGCACTCAGGGGGTGGGAATTTCGGAGGCTAATGGAAAGGGCGGTATCATATAGTGTATATAGTCACTTCCACAAGGCTAAAAAATTGTCCGCAAGATAATAATAATAATAATAACGATTTATTCAACAGATCCATACATATGGCTCTTCCCTGTTAAAATACTAATTAAATACTATATTTTATAACTATGGACTATAACGTTAAAGTGTTGAAATTAAATAAAATCGATGTTCGGATTAAAAACTAGTTTTGGCGTGCTCTTTCGAATAAAAGTTCTTTGGTTAATTTTAAAAATACTTTGTAATTAGTACAATTCCTGATGTTCTCAGGTAAGGAATTAAAAAGTTTCGCAGCACTATGTTGAAACGTTCCAGTTTCTTTTGGCACGACTAGTCTAACTGCAATGGTTGAGCGCAGTTCTCGGACGCAAGTTTGTCGTTCTAGCTTTAGATACTCTGGCCACTCTGGGAAATACATGGCTTTGAAACTCGATTTCAGGATGTTGAGGTCTCTTCTTTCGTTAACTGGAAGCCATCCAACTTCCAGGATATCCTTTTGATCTTTAACATATCGACCCAAGACAAAACTAGCAGTTGCAAATTGAACTTTCTGTAAGCGCCTTGATAGAAACTGCGGGAGGGGATAGAAAACACCATCAGCATAATCCAATTTGGATAATATTAGCGTTTCAGCTAACTGCTTTCTAAGGTAATAAGAAGCTAGATGTTTAAGTTTCCTTAATATTTGCAAGGTGGCGTAGCAGGCAGATGTTATGTGACGGATATGGTTGTCCCATTTTAGGTGTTCGTTGAAATGAACGCCAAGCAACTTGCATGACTTTATGCGCTCTAGTTCGTGTTCGTTGACAAATATTCTAGG